GAGTACCCAATAAATAATAAAAATACCTACGTAAAAACATATATACATACATCCATACATACTTACATATATACAAGTAAAAGAAAAAAATTATACATGTAATAAAATTAGATTTGGACCTACCTACATGTATGCTTTTAATGTATACACACCTATTATATATATCCAACATACATCAATCCATATACATGCATACAATTTACACGTAAGTATAAAAATCGTGAACACCAACATAGAGGCGTTATGAAAAATGAAAGCATATTGTATACCATGAATCGTGTATTTCTTCCACACGTATAGTCAAACAATCACATATGCAAACATACATACATCAGTACATACCACAAATAACATGTGTATACATTTAAGCCGCCCAAAAAGGTTGCAACAAACTTTTCAAGAAATTCTTCAATACTCGTGTTTGGTGTCTTCGTAGACGTGGAGCTCTTTCTCTCTCTCTCTCTCTCTCTCTCTCTCTTTTTCTTTTTTGCTATCTTCCTTTCGTTCTTGATTTTTTCTCTCGCTCTCTCTCTCCCTCTCTCTCTCTCTCTGTCTCTCTCTGTCTCTCTCTCTCTCTCTCTCTCTCTCTCTTCTCTTTTTTTCTCTCTCTATCTCTTTTTTTTCTCTCTCTCTTTCTCTATCTATCTATCTATCTATCTATCTATCTACGTATCTACGTATCTACGTATCTACGTATCTACGTATCTATCTATCCATCTCTCATTCTCTCTGCGTCTTTCTCTCTTTTTTTCTCGCAAAGTTCAATCTACGTATTCTATTAACTGAATTCGTTTTCATCCTACACAAAAACACACATGGGGTTATTGCCATTGAAATTTCAACTTGGGATCAACTGGTATAAAGATTCACTTAGGATCTCTCTGGGAAAAATAAATCTGTTAGAAACTGTTTTTGTACAAAATTTCTGATTGAGATCTTTCTCTCTATCTCTCCTTTTTTCTCTGTCTCACTCTCTTCCTCTCTCATCTCTCTCTCTCTCGCTCGTTCTGTCTGGTTTTTGATGTATCTAGGTATCTATCTATCCAGCTAGCTACCTCTGGAGCAATGAAACTTAAATACAATGCATTACCAGCTTCGGTAAAGGTCAAAAAAATTCATTCTATGTAGCGACTGAATTTGTTTTCATCTTACACAAAAGAACCATTGTGGTTATTGCCATTCAACGTCCAGCTTGGGATCAATAGGTATAAAGTTTCTCATTAGGATCTTTTTGGGATGAAATAAATCACATAGAAACTGTTTCGTACGAAATTTTTTTTTGAGATCTCTCTCTCTCTGTCTCTCTATCTATTTTCTCTCTCTCTTCTTCTTTCTCTCTCCATCTCTCTCTCTTTATATATATAAGAAAGGAGAAGGAGGAAAGATATATATATATATATATATATATATATATATATATATATATATATATATATATATATATATATATCTTTCCTCCTTCTCCTTTCTTCTCTTTCCATCTGTCTATCTATCTATTTATCTATCTATCTATCTCTCTCTTTCTCTATCCGTCTCTCTCTCTCGTTCTCCCTCTCTCTCTATCTATCTATCTATCTATCTATCACTTCTCTCTCTCTCTCCTCTATCTCTTCTCTCTCCCTTCTCTGTCTATCTATCTATCTATCTATCTATCTATCTATCTATCTATCTATCTATCTATCTATCTATCTATCTATCTATCTATCTATCTATCTACCTACCTATCTATAAATCCTAGCGATCTCTCGCTTTCTCTTTCTTCACTCTTTCTCTCTCCGTCTCTCTCTCTCGCTCTCTCTCTCTCTCTCTCTCTCTATCTCTGTTTCTTGCTTTCTCTCTCTCTTTTTCTCTTTCTCTCTTCTTTCTTTCTCTCTCCGTCTCTCTTTCTCTCTCTCTCTCTCTCTCTCTCTCTCTCTCTATCTATCTACTCTGTCTCTATCCCTGATTTAATTCTCTCTCCTTTTAACCTGGGATCATACCACACTTAGGGAGGATCAATTTGTATATTTTTGGATCATTAGTTATACTTAGGGATTAGTGGTTAAATAAATGAGCGATTGGTTATGCATAGGGACCATTAAATACACCAAATGGTCATGAATTTCAACTAGGGATCTTTAGATGTACATAGGGATCATTGGTTAAACATCGAGATCATTGGTTATACGTGATATGAAAATATTTGGTTAAGCTATGAAAATTAAACATAAGGTAATTGAGTATAAATATTTTACATAGGGACCATTAGGTAGAAAATTTTTACATAGGAATAATAAGGTATAAATATTTACATAGGGATCATTAGGTATAAATGTTTTACATAGGGATCATTAGGTATAAATATTTTACATAGGGATCATTAGGTATAAATATTTACATAGGGATCATTAGGTATAAATATTTAACATAGGGATCATTAGGTGTAAATTTTTACATAGAGATCATTAGGCATAAATATTTTACAAGAGATCATCAAGTAAAAAAAATTAAAAATGGAAATTTGAAAAACAAATTGAAAAAAAAATTTGTAAAAGAAAATTTGAAAAAAAAATTTAAAAAAAAATTTGAAAAAAAAACTGAAAAAAAAAATTGAAAAAAAATTTTTGTTTGGAAAGTTTTGTGTAAAAAAGATTTTTGGAAAATTTTTTACATAGGGATCATTAGCTATGAAAATTATACACAGGGATCCTTAGGTTTAAATTTTTTACATAGGGATCATTAGCTATGAAAATTCTACACAGGGATCCTTAGGTTTAAATTTTTTACATAGGGATCATTAGGTATAAAAATTTTCATAGGGATCATCAGGTATAAATGTTTTACATAGGGATCATTAGGTATAAATATTTTACATAGGGATCTTTAGGTATAAATATTTACATAGGGATCATCAGGTGTAAATGTTTTACATAGGGATCATTAGGTATAAATATTTTACATAGGGATCATTAGGTATAAATATTTACATAGGGGTCAGTAGGTATAAATATTTTACAAGAGATCATTAAGTAAAAAATTTGAAAAAGGAAATTTGAAAAAAAAAATTGTAAAAGAAAATTTGAAAAAAAAATTTAAAAAAAATTTGAAAAAAAAATTGAAAAAAAATTTGAAAAAAAAATGAAAAAAATTTTTTTTTATGGAAAGTTTTGTGTGCAAAAAATTTTTTGGAAACATTTTACATAGCGATCATTAGCTATGAAAATTATACACAGGGATCATTAAGTATAAATTTTTTACATAGGGATCATTAGGTATAAAAATTTACATAGGGATCATTAGGTATAGATATTTTACATAGGGATCATTAGATACAAATATTTACATAGGGATCATTAGCTATAAAAATTATACGCAGGGATCATTAGGTATATATTTTATACATAAGAATTATTATGTATAAACTATTACATAGGGATCATTATGTATAAATATTTTACATATGGATCATTAGGAATATTTTTTGTACATAGGGATCATTAGATATAAATTTTTACATAGGGATCATTAGGTAAAAATTTTTTACATAGGGATCATTAGGTATAAATATTTTACAAGGGATCATTAAGTAAAGAAATTTGAAAAAGAAAATTTGAAAAAAAAATTGAAAAAAAATTTGAAAAAAAAAAACTGAAAAAAAAAATTGAAAAAAAGTTTGAAAAAAAAATTTGAAAAAAATTTTTTTTTTTGGAAATTTTTGAATGAAAAATTTTTTTGGAAAAATTTTTACATGGTGATCATTTGCTATTAAAATTACACATAGTGACCATTAGGTATAAAAGTATACATGGTGACAATTAGGATTATTACATAGTGACCATTGCTGATCATTTAGTACATGGTGACCATTATGATTTATACCTAATGGTCATCCATGTATGACACCCCCCCCCCCGATCCTAACGCACTATATGCATACTACTTAGTAAAATACCAGTACATTGCGTTTGTTTCATACTTTTTTCGGAAAATTATTTTTCACCAACCGTTACATAAAATGATCTAAATGTAATTTTTTTTCGTTGTTTAATTTAGTGTTCAGGTGGACCTAAGTGTGACAACACATATCGCTTTAGAGATTTTGTTTTTGGCAGAACAAAAAAAACCCATGGGATATAACTAATGAAATAAAACCAAATATAGTTGTTTTAAAGAGTTTTTCGCCGGAAATATAATGAATTATAATCGATTATAATAGATTATAACCTCTAAGAGAATATCAAGATTATATTTGATATTAAATCCTTTAAACACCCAATTTTGGTATTTATAATCAATTATAATTGTCAAAAAGTTAACATAATAATCGGTTATAATCAATTGCTTACGCCTAAACTTGGATGCGGAAAGCCTTAAGTTCGCTTTATGTCCTCTGTGATAAAGCTGGTCATAAAGCGAATATTTAATCGCCCTATGAAAATCATTTAGGCAAACTCATTAACAAGAAAAAACTTTTTTTTTCTTAGTTTTGTTTTTGAGGCGGTAGAGTCACAATTAAAAAGTTTCAAAATACTATAACATTTGACCCTGTTCGACTTTCAAAAACGTACTTGAATTTTTGAGAGAAAAACATACTGATCAAGCCTGCATGCAGTCAATTTTTCCAAACTTGGTTTGGACTGGTACAACTAGCCAAAATCCAGCTGTGAGAAAAAAAAACATTGCAGACGCACTTAATTGCTATGATTTTTTCTAAAAAGTTCAAGTAAAAGGTATGAAGTCAATTATGGTCGTGTTATTTTATAATGAAGTCCTTTGAATTGCTGTTTTAGCACTTCAAAAATGCGAACAAAAAAGAATGATTTTATTTTGTTCTTGAATCTTTTCAAAAACGACGTTAGTGGTCCGAAAACTTTTGGATAATTCTCCTACAGCGACCGGTAAGCTTGAGTTTTCTTCCCGGCTGTCGAACCATTGGTAATAAAAATGTGTATGTTTGTGATCATTCAAGTCAAGCATTTCGAAATGATATTGGTCACTTTCTCAATTTGTTTGCTCTTTGATTGATTATACATTCGTTCAAATTGTTCTCGTTGTTTGAAAATCAATATGAATTAAACTTCAAAATGAGTATCACCTTGCCGATTGTTTTGACTGTTTTAAACATTGGGCTAGCCTCATCATCACAAAACACGACGTGCTCTATTCCGGAAGAACTAGAGCTCGATTGTTACCCGTCGGTACCTGAGAAATCTTTCACGGCGTTTTGCGAGGATCACAGGGTAGGAGTTTTTCGGTATGCCAAAAGACTCACAATCTTCATATTTTTTTTCTAAAAGACGTTCTGGTTCATATTATCGCAAAACATTTCAGTTCAAGCAAAATGACATGATCTTAAGAAAAGCAACAATTGTTAGTTGCAATTGGCTGTATTCCACTGTCCGACACTTTTTCTCACGCTTTTTCAGCAAGGAAAGCAGGAACTTGAAAAACTGTCCTTTAACTACTCTCATGGACAATAACTTGCGATTTAGGGTGTGGTGGAAGGAAGATGTTGTTTCTATGGTGAAGCATCAGGACCAGACATTCTGATTGGTCTGAATTTGAGACAGTGTGGAATAGAGGACTCCCAGGTCATACAACAACTGGGCCAGGAGGTGTTGCAACAGATGCAGGTGCTCTTCATGCAGGCAAACCCTTTCGGTCTGTTTTGATCAGTATGAAAACATGAAGCACTTAAATGAAGCTTAATTTTATTATTCTGTGACAGATAATTTTTTCAGGTTTATCGTCAATCCGGTATTTTTGAAATAGACTGATGAAGGAGTCTTGAGAAACACAAAATATTCCTAAATCTATTATCTAGTTAATTATTGTAACTCGAAGCCACTTATTTTCAACGAGGAACATCGCCAATGAGATGCAATTAAAACTAAAAATACTAAAAGAAGCATGTACCTCTGTTTATCATTTTCCTGAACTCTATTATGATTCTTTTGTTTTCGTAATGGCAAAATCTGGTATAAAAATTACTCTTCTGAAGGAAAATTTCTCTTTAGAAAAATAACATCTATTTTTTTCAGTGGACGCTCCAGCCGACTCTTTTCTGGCAATGACGCAACTGGATGTTCTGTTATTACCCTCTGGGTGCAACTGCCCGGGTGAAGCGGGAGTCACGTGGGATAATGTGTCCGAGTCCGGCAACTCAGTACTCTGCCAGGGTTAGACCAACTGCTTTTGTTTTACTTTCAGAAATTATTCAAATATTATCTTTTCACCATTAGTAGCCGATAGTAACCGATTAGGTGTGGAGCGAAATTAATACAGAACTAAATAAAAACTTTTGGTTATTTTTTTTGGACAGGAAAAAGTTACCTTGCATCCAACGAGCACGGCCCTAGTAGGCTTCGAGCCACCGAGGCGGAGACTTTAACTGAGGCGGAAACAGTTCCTATCTCCATGCAAAACTTATTTACTTTTTTCCCATTTTGGCTAAGAAGCTCTAAAAAGCAAGGACAACTTGTTTTAAAGGGGACACCCTTCCTCTCAGTAATGCGACATATTGAACATGTAAATAAAAGTTCCTGTTTGCTGTTCTTTTTGCCAGCCTCAATTTTAAATCAGTCACGCAAATTTTTGGAGAGTCTGCGGGACAACTGAAAAAAAAACTCAGTTTTATTTTGAATTCCTACACGAGAGAATATTTCTTATAATGTTGTTAACCTGTTGCGTTTTGTCTCTTAAATTAGTTCTCCGTTGCAGGTCAAATCCCGACCACAGGGGACTGTCCTGACCATAGTCACTCTGAGTCCTGTGGCCCTAACTTGTACGAGTGTCTCTGCAATCAAAAATACTCCAGTTACAAATGTCTGAGAGTGGCCAAGAAGTTTCCCTGGAAAACATTTGGACCAATTTTGGCAGTTCTGACAGTTCTTACAGCTACACTTTTGTTCTGGAAAAAACATGGATACGACTCAATGCGACATTTGAAGCACAATATGGATGCTAGATTCATCAATTAAAAATCACTTTATTTTGCCACCAAGGCGTGAAGGTGAAAACTTTGAACTTACGAAATAAAAATATCTATTTTTTTTTATCGTTTTCTCAATCTTTCGTTAAAAAGGCTAGTATAGGAAATTTTTGCTGAAACGGATTTGAAATAATTGTCGATTTTTCTTCGGATTTTTGTGCATTCGGCTGAGTGTTTCAAACAAAACCTCTGGTGTCGATTTTATTATTGCGTTAGGTTCGGACAGTTATAAAAAAGCTGAGGTACTTGTTTAACAGAGCACTGCTTATGTTGAGATGGGTCCCTAGGGGATTCTTATTAGTGTTTTCTTTTCCGAAAGCTTCGAACGGATTGGCTCGATCCCTTATACTTAATTCCTCGCGGACTCTCTACCTATTCTCATATTCAAAATATTGCTCTTTTTATTTGGTCGCAAAAGTAAAAGGGAATGTTATGATGTGAAGTGGGTAAATTAGACGTCAAAGGCGAAAACACACTAAACAAAAAATGAGATTAGACAAAAACAACCATCATGAAATAAAAAAATAGATGAAAATTTTACTATTTCCAACATTGATAAAAAGCAGCCCAGTTAAAATTCCGATCAGTAGTTTGCAAAACACTAGCGTGAGCATCCTACAAAAATTTTGAAACAGGTCGCAAAGTTGATGGAAACAGCTCTTTGGTTGACGAGAAAAGAAAGCAAGACTGCTCGTATCAGGGTGAAGCCCTAAATGTTTCGAATACCTTTTAAGGTCTATGGAGCAGTAATAACATGAAAAATTTAAATATAATAAAATAAAATAATTTTAAAAAAAATGAGATTTGTGTGTAAAAACATCCCCCACACGCCATATTAAGTACAAAGTGATAGATGTTGCTCCTATTAAAAAATAAATAATAGGATATGCGCTTCCTTGAACCAATTTGGAACAATTTTTAGGACGGATTAAATCTCCGATTACGCGTTAATAGCGCTAAATAAAACGCACGTTAATTGTCCCAAATTGGCCGAAATAGCAATCTTTAAACACCCATAACTTTACGAAAAATATCACAGGTGAAATATCTTTTCAAATTTAAGTCCAGGACAACAATAGCTTTAGAATGATAAGGAAAAAAATTTCCGTCAAAAATGGCCAGTAAAAAAGTCGAAATATCTCTGAAGAAAAAAAAACACCCCGAGCACAATAATTTCGTTACTTTCGTTACAAAAGTCGGAACAAAAACTTGAAAATGCGCTCCCGAAATTGCTCATTTAATTTTGTAGTTTTTAACAACTCATGCTACCGTACAGGAAAATCACAAACAAATGTTTCGCAATTAGAGGTTGATTGTTCTAGAAAAGTAGAGAGAGAGCCAAAACTTATCTCTTCAAACAACTTATCTTCTAAACATCATCGTTTTCATGGAAAAGTTGCGTCAAATTTTATCCAAAAAACTTTTTTTTTCGCGGACCATAAAAGTTTTGTCCGAAATGATTGGGCGACTACTCAGAAACTACAATACGTTCAATTTTTCAGTTGAATGCGAAGTTTTTTTTTAAAGTTATTGCAAAGAATTTAAGAAGGAGTTAGTCCACTGAGTCGAAAAAAGTAGCTTGACAAAACTACAGGCCAGTTAAATTTCTAAAGTGTACTCTTGCAAGGAAGAGCAGGTTAGAAGAGTGTTTTAAATGAATAGTGAATTGGTTGAAATAGTTAAAATTGTTCACGCCAGGAGTCTTTCAAAATGTGTACAACTGTTTTAAAAGCCAGGCACGAGAATAGTGAATTAATTTCACGACTGCGTGAAAAAAGAGTTGCGAAAATGTTTAAGTCAACAAAATTTATGTGTTCCGTTTGTTTTTGTTCCCAGTTTTGATACGAAAGTAACGGAATATTTGTGCTCGGGGTGGACTTTTTTTCTTCAGACAAATTTCGGCTTTTTAACTAGCAATTTTTGACGGAATTTTTTTTTATCATTCGAAAGGTATTGTTGTTCTGAGCTTAAATTTGAAAAAAATTTAACACCTGTGGTCTTTTTTCGTAAAATTATGAGGGTTTAAAGATTGGCATTTTGGCCATTTTGACCAATTTGGGACAATTAACGCGCGATATAACTCGCGCTATTAACGCTTAAGCGGAGATTTAATCCGTCTTATAAATTGTTCCAAATTGGCTGAACGAAGCTTATTTACCATATATGATTTGTTACAAGGAACAAAATCTATCTTTTTGTACTTTATATGGCGTGTGGGGGGATGATTTTCATAAAATTGTTCAAATTTTAGAAAAAAAAGTTTCATTTTATTTTATTTCATTTAAATTTTTTATGTTTTTACTGCTGCTCCATAAACCTTAAAACGAGCAGTCTTTTTTCGTTAGTTTTTCATCTACTAAAACATTATTTTCTCTCTTTAAAACATGTTTTCAAACTATATATACTTCTCATTCGCGCTGATTGAATTCACGCTGTAGATTACCTAAATTTGTTCATACAAAAAATTTCACGTACTGGTTTTTTCGTGAACTCGGTATGAACTCACGCAAGTTGACTAAATGGAAAAGACGTTCACAAAAGAAAGCAATAAATGTGCCCATCTTTTTTTGTGATAACTAAATGAAAAAAAATTATTTGGGTAAGTACGTCAGTTAATGGTTTTTGAAATTTTTAATCCTTAATTAAGCGTCCACCTTTAACAATTGTTGAGAAGCTTAGTTGTTGAAAAAATTGTTGAAACAATTTGCTAAGAGTAGTCAACATATGAAAAATATTGTAAAAGTTAAATTTTCCATGCAGACAGAGCAGTAGCTTGATGTTGCGACTTTCAAAAAATATGACGGAAAAATAATTCTAGTAGTAGTTCTTACATAGATTCACATTAAGTTCAAGTTTTTGACGGAAATTTGTTATCATCTGAAAAGTAACAACACCTAAAGCTAAAATTAAACAAGACTACCCGTATAAGGGCAACGCCTTGAATAATCTGACTGCCTTTTAAGGTCCATGGAGCAGTAATAACATGAAAAAACAGCGTAACAAAATAAAAAGATTTTTTTTTAAAGTTTGAGTTTTTTGTGAAAATCATCCACCCTCACGCCAAATAAAAAAAAATTGATAGATTTTGCTCCTAGTAACAAATCAGATAGGGCAAATAAGCTTCCGTCAACCAATTTGGAACAATTTCTAAGCCGGATTGAAACTCCGATTACGCATTGTTAGCGCGAAATCTATCGCGCGTTAAATGTCCTAAATTGGCCAAAATGGGAATCTCTGAACCCCTATAACTTTACGAAACATGATCACAGTTGAAATATTTTTTCAATCATAAGATCAGGACAACAATACTTTTTAAATGATTTCAGAAAAATCGGCAAATTAGCAAGTTAAAAAGTCGAATTTTGTCTGAAAAACTAAAACCACCACGTGCACAAATTTTGCGTTACTTTCGTTACGAAAGTCGGAACATAAAAACACGCATGCAGCTGTTTTTTGTTAAACTATAGCAGTTTGAAATTTGAATTATTTGTAGCTAAATTATTCTGCGAGCGAAACTTCTTTATATTGTTACTCCTAGCAGATGCGGCAAACTATTCCGGTTTGGAAGCCAATTCATATACAATCGAGGCAACCAATTAGTCCAAATAATGTTTTGGCAGATACAAGATATAGTATTTTGTGGTTTTTTCCAATTTCTCACTCACAATGACTTATAAATTGAAAGCCTTATCATTGTGATCATAATGAAATGAAACGTTTAACTGTGATCATACCACTTTGTATGTCGTGCTTTTTTTCTTCATAGCCCCTCCTCCAGTTAAATGCAGCCCCCAACCAATGAGTAACATATAACAAAAATGTGCAGTGACCATGTATGTGTATGTTTATTTGTTCATTTATGACTAGTTAATCAATGTAGCGCTCAGTTCAGTACAAGCAAACTTTCCTCTTGTTAGTTTTTTTTGTAGAGTTTTTGTACATCAAACTCGAATTTATAACAGAGTTATGCTCGCTCGCTTCTGGATTCCAAACCCACACTTTTTACACGAGTAAGTGGTTTTGGCAGCTCAATTTCAATGAGAATTGTTGACTACACAAATATCTGGTAAAACATTTTTTTTGCCGTGGAATTCAGCGAAAAAGTTTCTATCATTGTCAATCAAACTTATCTTCGTTTGCGCAGCGGGTTACCACTGCGAAGACTGTGCTGTTAAAATTTTTTGGGGAATAATTTTGATTTTATTTTTTGTTGAAACTAGTTTCTCTCAGTGTGAATAAACGGTTGTTGCAAATGCGATAGAAAATTGATTCAATCAATTACAAAAAAAAATCGGTTATTTATCGTTAGTTTATCCCCCCTCGTAGACTGTTTCCCCTCCTACCCCCGTTTATTAGATGAAAAAAATGTGAGAAAGAGGACAGAACCTACTTAAATGGTATCACAAAAAGAAACATTTTTTCTAAATGCCGATAAATCTGTTTGGATTTGTGCAATTTGCTTAGATAACTTTTTATTCAATAATTGAAAATTGAACATTGTGAACAAAGATTCTTATCAGTAAAATTTGTTACAGAATTTGTTACAGAACGAAAAAATACAGAATTATGAGCTTAGTATTTCGATGTTCCTTCTTATTAGCAGTGCTTGCCTTGCTTTATCTTCAAATGCACCTGTTACCTGAATTTAATGGAGTGAGCACAATAATTATCAAACCAAATTTTAAAACATCTGTTTTATACTGGGACCACGACAATGAACTGCAGAAACAGAAACTTTTTGTGAATGGTAGCAAAAAATCAGTGTTTGTTCACGTCTGGCGAGCTATTTGCGACGAAAGACTGAATTCTATGAAAACCGTTGTTATTTTTGTTCTCACCAGACTAAAGAAACCAGAGGGATTTGAACATGACAGCACTGTGAGATGTTTTAATGGCCAAAATCCAATTTCTCATTTCAACTACACTCCAATATTGTACTACATGCCTGGGTTCTTCGTTTTCTGCCCATTCGAACGCACTCAAACATGTCCTAGAACAGTTTCGATTCAATTCGGAGACCAGATTATAACGAACG